AAGCCTTGAAAGATTCATAGATACGAAGTACGAGGTAAAATAAGGTAGGCAAATTCGGAAGCTAAAGTGACAGATTCAAAAGGCAGTCTAGAAAGACGATATTGTATTAATAAGATGAAGTTTCGGCCGAGGTGTATAGACCTCGCGACCAAGTACGAAAATGAAAAAGTTAAAAATAACACAAGAAAGCTGAGAAAGATAGGGGAGCCTCAGCTACTTCCGAGGTGTAACCCTAACTCGACTTGGGACCCGAGGATGTCAACTTCCTGAGGGTCTACCATCCCAACCTCTTGGGACGAGTTCCTACCGGCAATAGGAAGGAGAGCCCCATCAACTTCCTAGGAAGAAGGGTCCACATTATCTTCCTCGTCAAACTTGGCATCAGAATCAAGCTCATTCAGGCATTGATCTACGAGGTGCTAGGGGCTAAGGGTCCCTGGGGCCCGAAGCCCATGTTTCAGCATACCTGAGCTTGATAGGCTCAAGGTCGAGCTCAGGAGCTACCTCCTTGACTCCCTTCATCAGGAACTTAAAGCCCGCGTCACTAATGTCTTTGGCGAATCCGTCGAAGTCGGGGTGTTGGTGAAAAGTTTCCTCTAGGAGAACCCCATTACTAAGTTTGGACTCAGCGAGCTCAAGCTTAGCCCTTAGTTCTGCCATCTCGGAGTCGCAACTCTGAAGCTTGCCTTCCAGGTCTTCTCGGAGGTACGTGAGTTCGTCATTTTCCTTCATCAGCACGAATTTCTCCTTCTCAAGGCACTTGGCTACGACATGGGCGCCCCTCAGATTCTCCAGGTGCTGAGTAGCTTCTGATTGAGCACTCTTGAGTTCGGCTTTGTCAACCTTAGAGGTGGATTTCCACACCTGAGCCTCTGCACGAGCCTCCTTGAATTCCTCTTCCAAGGCAGCAGCATCCTCCAAGGCAGATGAGGAGGCCTCCCGCTCCTTCACAGTGAGAAGGTCCCGCCCCTCCAGCTCGGCCTTCACCATAATGGCAGTCTAGCAGGCCGCAGTGTGAGCCTGTGAGTAGGAACAATGGTAACTGAGGCGTTAGTAGAAAGTTAATAGCGAAAAAGCAAGGAACCTCGGCAGTAAAATCCAACAGTCGTTGGATAGCAGACCTAGGAGCACTGATAAACTTGGAAAGCCTCATCCAGCAGCGGTCGAGGCAGGAGCTCGACATCTCCATTGCCTTCTCCTTCACCCCAACACTAGATGGCTCGACCCTGAACCTCATCTCGATGTCAAAGGTGCCGCCCATCCTGGCCTCAGGGTCGTCGACCAAGTCCCCAAAAGGACTGACTCGTACCTCAGCACGCATTTCCCGCACCTCGTCCTCGGAGTGTTGGGTCTTGCACTTCTTCTTCTTGGACTTTTTTGGGGAAGTCTTCCTCCGAATCTCCCTAAGGGGAGGAACTTCGAGGATCTCTTGATTCTGAGAGGTTCCAGCCGCAGTCTCTTCCTACGTCGAAACGGCTACCTGTCCGACCTCAACCACCTCCACCTCGGTGGGACGGTCAGCAACAACAGGGCTAGGTGCCTCTTTCCTCTTACAAGCATGCCCGGCGCATGGGCGTTTGCGCCGAACGTCCTGGGAAAGGCCGCAAACCATGGCTGCGAGAAAAGTAACCATTAGTCAAACACAAAATGAAGAGCACCCAATGTAAAGTATAAGAACATCCATAAAAGGCAACCAACCTAGTTTAGAGTTCGGTCTTTGAGCCTAAGACGAAGATAAGAGGGGGTTGTAATCAAGCAGCTCTAAGGCAAGGAGAAGCTTGTCTGTTATGAGGGTGCTGATCTGCTTGCCGCTCTTGAACTTGCCTTTGAAAAATTTCAGGGTGTTGAAGGTCGGCTTGGAAGGCTGGGAAATTGGCCGAATAGCAACTGAAAACATTGAAGTTATAAATCATGCAAGGAAAGGAAACAACTAATAAGCGAGTAAAAGACTCCGTTCTTTACCTAAATTCCTAAACCTACGAGGAACGTTGAAAAAAGGCAGGTCGGACTCGTTCCTAGCCAGCCATGCGCCGGAGGCGAAGAACCACTTTCCAACCCATTTCTTTATGAAAGTATAACTTTTAAGAATGCCTCCCGTGCCCTTTCTAGCACACATGTAGTGTCTTCCCGGCTTCCTAGAGATTCGTTTAACTTCGAAGCAAGCAAGAAGTTGGTCAACTCCGAGGAGGTCCAGATCGTCTATCTTCTTGCACCGTAACCAGAACAAGGTGGCTAGGCCGAAGACGACTCCCCACCCATTGGGGGCCACTTCCGTAGGGGCTAGTTCAGTTCGGTACAAAAACTCCTGTGCCAAGGGGTGAAGAGGAAGGCAGAAGCCGTATTCAAACATTTTTAAGTAAAGGGTTACACACCCTTCAGGTCGACTATCAGCTCGTTCCCCTTCCTTTGGGAGCCTAAGAGTGATGTCATCTGGAATTCTATATCTCCTACGGAGGGGGCCGAGATAGTTCTCAGGCATCTGGGAAGGGTATTCTAAGCCTTGCCCTGAGGTTGAGGTATCACTATCATCCCCATCATCCTCTAAGAACCTAAAATTGTCTATCTCCTCCTCTAGCTCGAAGTCTAACCTACTGGCGAACTCCTCCATGGAATCGGCCTTTCTAGGCAAAGGATCCTGATTCTGAACTGCCCCACTAGATGAACTACTATTACGTGAGCTTAAGGAACTAGAGGACGTCGACATGACTTTGAAATAAAAAAGAAACTTAGCAAAAGAGAAGGAACGAGACTGACCTAAAGATTCCGATCTGATGAGTTCGGACTCCAAGATTTCAGATAGCGTAAAAAACAGAAACAGATCCTTAGGGGTATTTATAGTATTCTGAAATTCAATCTCAGCCACACACGTGTCCCCAAATTGGGCATCTTAGATCGGAAGAAGACTGAACATTAGTGGTAATTAAGTGTGCGCCGATTGGTGGTTCCGTTTTCGAGGTTTCCCAACGATAACATTTATCGCATCGGCCTCGAAAGTCACCACGTGAGTCAATTTCCTCAAGGATAATGGACTTCTCTGCCAGGTCGAGATCGAAACTGATAGTAAGGGGGCCAATGTTTGGGGGAGAAATATCTCTTTGTCACGTGGAGGACGGGGATTCACTATTAATAGAAGAACTAGAGGAATGAGCTTAAGGAACTCCATTTCGGAAGATCTGAGATGGAATATTCACCGCTTCCCGTTAAGGAGTTCATTCGATGTTTCCAGGAATGTGTCCGAGGCCGACCTATGCAAACCCGACACATCCGACCTTAAATTCTACCAAGGTAACCGCCTGTCGAAACTCCTGTCGGAACCTAAACCAATAAATAGAGGGTCTCATTTCACCATCAGGTATCGAATTTCTCCTCGAACTTAATATTGAGTCCGAGTTGCTTACTAACTTGAGCGTCGGAGATTTTGCCTTCTTGTGCAGGTCTTCCCATCACGTTTCGGGTCGGAGCAAGGACCGGGTTCGAGCTAGATTAACGTTGTGCAAATCCTTGCATAAAAAATTTTAAAAATTAATGATTGGAAAAAAATTGAATAGACAAATGTATTAAAAATCTTTTTTATATCGTTAAAATAGTATTTCTTAATTTCATAAGAAAATATACTTTTGTAAAATAATTTAAATTATTTTAATTAGTTTATAAATTATATTTTTTTATAGAAAATTAAAATTCAACTAACCCAATACAAATTTAACAAAATACTAAACCGAGACTTAACAAATATTTAACAAACCCAGAGGGAAATTGGCATGGCTAACCTAAAAAAGTTTGTTGTTTGCTCAACTGACCTCAATTAAAAAATTTGACTCAACTGACCCAATTTAATATTTTGAATAGAATATTGAAGAATTAAATTACTATTTTAGCCTCAATCTGGAATGCAGGTGAAGTCGCAAACGAATTAACAGGAAAGGAAATTAATGGGCAGTTTTGACCGTGGTTATTGTTAGTTTGACCTTGGTTAGTAGAAAAGTAACACGAATTTTTTGCTTCCCCACGGCCGTGAACTATAGGACCCCGGCCGTGGTGTTAATGAAAGGCAACTAATGGGCTAGGTTGGACCGTGGTTAAAATGAATGTTTGACCACGACTGTGAAAACTAGTACCACGGCCGTTAATTTAATGACCATTATACCCCTCAGTTCAAATTCAAACTGTTCGTATATCTCATTCCATCTTCTTTTCTGTTCTTCCGTTTTCGTTTTCGTTTTCGCCCATTCGATTTACACTCCCTCAATTTCCTCTGTTTCACTCTCTACTAGTCAATATCGTGCTCCGAATCGCTTCCCATATCCGAAACTTCGAGGTTAGAACATTTTATTTAGTATTTGCATCTCTTTTATGGCAAGAAAATAAGTCTTTTTTTACTTATATTTGCGATTTTTTTCGTTATTCGTCCATTAATTCCTTCCATGGTAGCCTATTTAGTATTTTCGGTACTTGTAGGGCTCGAAATCGATGTTTTTTGTTTATGATTTGCGTTTGTGGTTGAAATTTTGATTTAGGGCTTCGGGGTTTCTGTTTTCGGTTGTGTTTGCGTGGGTTTGTGTGGGCTGAACGTTTTCTGCTGCGTTTGTTATCGTTGTGTGAGTTTTCTAGAGTGGAAGAAGGAAGGTTTAATGGGCGCGTTAACGGCCGTGGTTCAACGCAAATTTCATGGGCGTGGTTTTTGGCCGTGGTGAAAATGATTGCTTGACCACGGCTATGAAAAAGAGTACCACGACATTGGTTCTGTCCAAATTCACGGTCGTACCACGGCCATGGTCGTGACCTTGAAATTTGACAGATTAATATCCTTCTTGAATTTGAACTACCTAGGCCATGTTAAGCCCATGAATTTGGACAGATTATGTTGTTTTTGGGTTTTCATCTGTTCTTTTCTATGTTTGAGTTTTCATTCATTCCTTTCATCTGTTCCTTTCATCTGTTCCTTTCTTTGCTTGCGTTCTGGCTTGCTGAATAATGTATTTGTATTTCAGGTTTATAAAATGGAGATGGTACCTAAGATTCCTCCCTCTAGCTATCGTTCATCCAATTTGACCTGCCTATCCCATATAGGGAGCACGGTAAAGGCTATTAAGAGTAAACTAACCCCTAGGCAACTTAGTATGTTTAGGAAGACCATTTTCGGCCATTTGCTAGACGTAGAGCTCGTACTTAATGGACCACTTCTACATAACCTGTTGCTTAGGGAGTTGGAGAATAGTAGAGCAGACGTAATTACTATGGACGTGCTTGGTAATAGAGTATCTTTTGGATTTAGTGAATTTTGTCTGATAACGGGCCTGAAAGATAGTAGACGGCCGATTCGTAAGGACACTTCTCCTAAGAGGCTTAGGAAGTTGTACTTTGATGACAAAGTTGATATCTTACTAAGTGAGTTTGAGGCGAGGTATATGGTGATGCAGTTCGAGGATGACATTGATGCAGTCAAGATATCAATGTTATTATTCGTTGAGCTTGTCTTGTTTGGAAAGGATAGGACGTTGAAGTTGGATAATAGCCTCTTAGGAGTCGTGGATGACCTAGAGGTTTGCTGTAATTATGACTGGGCTGAGATGTCTTTCGAGAAGACTATAAAAAGTTTGAAGCGTGTCCTGACGAAGAAGGGGAGAGATGAGAGGCTGAGGAAGACATATAGTCTGTACGGTTACCCCTGGGCATTCCAGGTATTTGCAGTGATTGTTTTAGTTTTAATTTATATTATATCCTATTCATTTTATGTGATGTTGTCATACGTCGTGTTGATACAGGTTTGGGGATACGAAACAATATCCTGTTTGACCGGTCGGGTTGCGCATCCTATAAAACCGGATGCTGTCCCACGCATACTTAAGTGGAAGTGTGGACATTCAACTGTTATGATATTCTGCATCGGACGTGAAACAACTTCTTCAACTGTTTGATAAGGTGCATTCTCACTCACTGTATGCGACTCATGAACATGTTGACCTTCATTCTCATAATGTTCGTCAAGCACATCCTCGGTATGATATTCATCCTCCTCCCCACTGTCATATCCATTCCCACCATCGCCCTCAACTCCATCCTCGGTACGATATTCGTCATAATCATACTCATCATCACTCTGAAATTCGTACTCAACCTCGTTCTCGTACAGTTGACCATAATATGGAGATTCGTCGTCGTCTAGGTTACATGGGATAACGTTATCGGCTAATGGTGTAATCTGTGGGACAAATGAGGGAAGACGGACATCATCCAGAGGAGAGTCAATAGAAATAGAACGGCCAAAACATGGATCATTCTGCCTTGGGTAGTATGGGAATGAAGACGATGTTTGGGTTTCGAAAAAATTATTTCCTCTTCTGCTCCCACTACCATATGATGCTTTAGGTAGACGGTTACGTACAAGGGTACTTGTGACGGATCAAGAGGGCCGTTAAAATAGAATCTCAAACTGCTGTCATCAAATATTAGATAGTTCGGGACTTCATACCGAAAATCAAATCTATATACGCACTGTACAATAAGATCAAATTGGTCAGGATCAATTCTAGTAAGCATGTGTAAGGCACTTACTAGGTTGGCATATGTTATTGTTTCATCAACATCTAGCCCACCCATGACGCCACCTTCGTACACTGTACCAGCCTCGTTCCACTTGCCACCATATATCACAAATAGTCGACGCATCCTACATGGAGAATAATAATAACACACAAGTAATAAGTAATCAAAGTTACCACGATCGTGTTAGTTTCAGACACGACCATAATATAAAGCACAAACACGAGTGGGGGCACATAATCGAACATTAGAGGACCACGGCCGAGGGAACATACAACCATGGCCCTTAATCGAACATTAGAGGACCACGACCCCGGGAACATGTCACAACAGCCATTAATCAAATAATAATAAAGGCCGTGAATCACGACCATGAATTTGCAACCACGACCGTGAATCAAATAATAAAAGACCACGGCGAAGGAACATGCTACCAAGGCCATGAATCAAACAATTAAGAACCACGACCGAGGTAACATGTAACCACGACCATTAATCACACAACCACACCCGTGGTCATAAACACCCCGGTCACGAATCGACAAAATGGACCATGGTTGTAAGCTGATCAAGGTTATGTATATGCAATCGACCTAAAACCACGGCCGTTAATCATAAAACCATTGACCACGGCCATTAAACGAATAAACACGGCCATGAATCATTGACTTACGTAACTTCTTTTACCCACAAAAATACTGAAAAATTCAGAAATTTCATTTACTTCAACTAAATACATCATATTCTAGACGAATCGAAAACAATATTATGAACCAATAAAAAACTAACCTCGTTCAAGGGGTCAGAGATGAAAAATTGACTTCTTTTAATGGATTCAAGATGTGAAAAATGTTAGAAAAGGTATGAAAGTTCTTCAAAACCACGTGAAAGATGTGTTTCTGGACAATACGAACTGAAACATATTTTTATTCTCTGCACTCGGTGAGAACGTGTGGGTATATAATAAATGATAGTACAAAAATTTGGTAGGGAATTATTAAGTTGGTGGTACTTTAATAAATTCATGACCATGAATCAAGTGGAACTCGTCCATGGTTTTAATTACACCAACATACGATTCAACGACAGATTTGTTGTAGTTCAATTCATTTGGGGGTATATTCGTAATTACATACTCTTTACAAAAATTAAAATTGGGTCAGTTGGGTTAATTTTTATAATTTAGGTTATTTGAGCAAAATTGACTGAGTAAACAGCGCACCCTTGACATTTCGTCTAATCCTTCTTCATCCTTCCTACCAGCCGCCACCCACAACTCTTCTTCACCGGCGAGGCAGCGGCGCCGGACGACTCCACTGGCAGCGGCGCACGGCGGTAGCAGCAGACCCGTCCCCCTCGACAGCAGTGC